GAAAGAGTATAACGACTGAAAATAGTAGTAAGACGAGCCTACCTGGCTGACTGGAGCTGTTATTCATAACGTATGTTGTTGTATAGAGTATAATAAGCTAACCGTTTGTTTGACCAATAAAATGCAAACTGAGAGACCCTCTAGCTTTGGATACAGACATTATAAACCCTCAAGGACACGCCCCCTTCAGGAAGCACATTGCGAGGGCGCTATTAATTATCGTATTATTGAGATCGATCTACTGGGCAACGACATTAACGTCATTACATCACTGATCTCGATCACCGGTTAGTTTTTCCTCGAAAATACTTTGTTGCTATTATAGAACATTACAAGTGTATGAGTACTAGTGGTTTAGTACCAGTGCCCAAAATACGAACGGTAAGCCTATACCCACAGGTGTGGATAGTCATATTGCCTGGGGACTGTGCAAAAACGGACTATTTACTGGACTTCCGGTGGTGTGTATGGATCGCAGCTTCGATTTTTTTTATTACTATGGTAACTTTAGTGCCGAAACGATAGATTGCTGATTAACAAATTTTGTAGATTACATTTTTAATAGTACCGCTGGCGGATCCAGGAATTCGAAATAGAGTTGCCAAGGCGGGGGGAGTGGGATTGATCACAGACCGCAGTCTAGAATCAGTGAACCTTTCGGTTTTTACAAAAACAAGTTCTCGTAATCGCGAAAGCTCCGAAGAGGGCAGTATATAGAGGCAGTAGTATATATTGGCCTTAACGGCCGCCCACACAAAAAAAAAGATCTATCAATCAATCAGACGAGGACCCTAAAGGCCGCCCATACAAAAAAGATATATTAATCAAGATCAATCAGCCGAGCTCATTCGGAGCTAAAAATCCATAACGAATTGATAACCATCTATAAGGGTCTTTGTTAATTACAGGAAATGCATTATTTACATGTTCGGGCATTTTTTTTTTCTCATTCAGATTTTTAATTTTTAAGTTAATATTCTTTTTAGCTCATAAACAGACGGTATTAACCACCAACCATTGAACCGAAATTCAGACCGCGTTTCTGATGCACTGTAAGCCAGTAAGTTGATTTACAGTTTAAATAAACTAATTCCTCCATGGTTTAAAAATACTGGTATTACCATCAAATAAATCGTTGATTTTTATGACAAGTTCCGAACAAATTGTTGTCTGTACGGGAACGGGAAAAAGTTGCAAATTGTCCTTCACGTACGGCGCGTTTTTGTTTTAAATTATATTGCAAGTGTACTGATACAATTGCCCCTGCAAAAATTCCCTAATTTAAAGTGAGTACATCATGACGATACGTTGAAATTGTTTTACATAAATTTGCATTTTTCCAATTTGGTTTGTCGTCAACGCAATATACCTAGGAATAAATTTCGGGTTGTTTCCCCCTTATTACTGGTCTCAGGCAAAGCGTGCAAAGACTTAAGCAACTCTCACACTATCACGATACGACCGACACCGACCAGTGTGAAAGCTGCTATGAGCAACTTGCTCGTGTAGAAGTGAGAGTCGTCGATGGTCGCGGAGTTTTTAACATATTGAAAAAAATATAGTGGTCGGTACTGGTCGCCAGGTCCTGCTTCTGGTCAGATACGACCGTAGGTCGGTACGGTTGCATTGTAAGGTCGCGATAATGTGAGACAGGCTTTACACAATTGTCGTACGACGGCCACAAGACCGTCAAATCCATCTCCGCTGTCTGTGAGCGTTTGACGACGCCGGCCGCCGCTGTTGGTGGTAGGGCGAAAAGTCCCGTCGCGCACGCCCATCACCTCGTCGTGTTGTTATCTTTAATGAAATCACAGTGTCGGCCGAGGTCTTCAGTGCAGTGTGCCCAGTTTTATTTAGGCCCGTATCCATGGGGTATTGAGTTTGCATAGTACTAAGAAGAGATTGAGATAATGTGAACACCCAACTTTGTTGAATTGAATTTTATAAAATTGTGGTTCATAAATTATTATCCAAATCAATCATTTTCAGTTTTTAAAAAGACTCCCTCCCCCACCCCTGGGCTTCAAGGGAGCAAAGTACCCGAGTCTCTACAAACGGTGTGTGTTTCTGGTGGTGGGGGGGGGGGGAAGGGAGATGGACAGTTCTAAATATTAATGGGAAACTCTAAATATTAATGGGAATATTAACTAGTCTTATCACAGCGTGGGGGTCTGAAATTGATTGAAGACTAAAATAATCTCACCAAAGCTGTCCAACCGACACGTCCCCTTGACCCCGCTGTGTATTCTATACAAACCCACGCATCTCCTTCCCCCATGACAACTGGATAAGACACTGCAGATAACAATTCAGTTTTAAAAACATCTAATAATGCATTGATATTTTATGTGAATATGACTAACTTGCAAACATTATTAATGATAAGGCGTAATAGTAGAGTTTGAAGATCCATTGACATCATAATGAAAAATGAACAACAATATCAATGGCGGGAGTTTTTCCTCTTTGTTTTGGCCTTTGTTCATTGTTAATCTGTTTCGCTGTGCTTGGGGTTTATGTCCTTTCTTGTGATTGATGTTTAGAATTTGTATTGCCTTTTGTCATTGCTGACCTGTTTGCTGTGCTGGGGGGGGGGGGTGTTTCATTATTGAATTGTAATGTTGACTTTTTGTCAAAGCGCTATGTGAATAGCGCTTAATAAATGAATTAAAAAATAAAATAAAAAATTCAATCGGGCCGAGTCAGCCCGGGACCCCATAATTTTTTTAATTAAAAAAATGGAGAAAAAAACGGAAACTATTAATAAAATTTAGGTCTGGGAGTGCCATGTCCGGCCATCTAGAGGTGATAATCATCATCATCATTATTATTGCTATTATAATTATTATTATTTTTATTATTATTATTATTATTATTATTATTATTATTATAAATATTATTATTATTATTATTTTCATTATTATTATTATTATTATTTTTATAATTATTAATATTATTATTATTATTTTCATTATTATTATTATTTATTATTATTATTATTATTATATTATTATTATTATTATTATTATTATTTTCATTATTATTATTATTTATTATTATTATTATATTATTATTATTATTATTATTATTATTATTATTATTATTATAGGCCACTGGGGCGGGTCCAGATATTTGCAGGAGTTGGTGCCAAAAGAAGGGAACTCCTGTTTAAATAGCATAAGTTTAAATGACTTGGAGAACCGTCTTCTGTCTTCTTGTAACCCTCTTATCTTTTGATAGCCTTAAAAGCCAACAATAATTTTAGCCTGAAAATTATTCTCATAAATGACCCCCAATCCCTAAAGAAGAAAAAAAGTGCTGACTATTTAACCAACATATGTACACTTTTTTTGCCAGCTATAAAGCACTGTAACATGTTAATGGTGATGGGGAGGGGGTCCGGATGTCGACGAACATCACCCCCTGGATCCCCCAAGGAGTATTTTTAAAATAATCATTCTGTGAAGCTCAGTCGGCCAAATGCTGCAAGTATTGCCATATATAACAGAATATTCTAAAACATAACACTGAACACTGCTACGTCTTAAACTATAATTTTAGAAAGACCTTTGCAAGTGAAATTCAAATTACGTTTCAAATAAAGAACATGAACCAATAATAATTTTGTTTATAATGTTAGAGCAGGTAAGAGGCCTACTGGTAAAGAATATGGAAAAAATTGTTTATACATGTTGTGATGGATAAACACACATTCCTATTCGTCACGTATTGACTTATTTTAGTGATAAACATGGTTACTTTATAATAATTATATTTTATTCCATTATATAACGTTTGTATCAGCTCCACTTAATGAAGTGGTACATTCAACTTCACTTCAACTGCTTCTTCACTGTACTAACGTAATTTGAATAATGAATTCTCACATGTGTGGCTTTTGTAGCGTGGCTCGTCCAATATTTTGTAGATTCGTGTTACTGTAAAATTATTTTCTGGGGTTGTGGGGAACTAAGTTGTCCGACAGGGGGATTTGAGCTCGTAGGCTCGAGCTGGGGGAAGAGGTTGAGAGGTGGGTTCCCCTCCCCAAATGAGATATTTTTAAGAATATCAACCTCTAGATGGCCGGATTGGCACTCTCAGATTGTGACAGACATGTGTTGGCTTGGTGTGGGCCTATTTTTATAATGTTTTAATAATGGTCTGACTGCCCGACGAGCTCTGTCCGGTTGGGGGCTTGACCTGCCCGGTGGGGACTTAAGCCCCCCCTGTCCCCTCCAGCCGCTGGCGTTGCCACTGGTCTGGACGGTAAGTCGTCACTCAGTCTGTCCTCAGTCAAATTATTATATGATTACCGCTTTCTTAGATCCAATCATGGGCTAATTTTCTACAAACGCAGCCTACCAGCAAATAAAAAAAAACATTATAAACGAATGTTACTAAATGTTACGATTGTAAACATCGAATATTGGAGACACAATTGAACTACTGTACATCCATAAAGTAGCAAACAACTTATAAACTTTAAGACAATCACGACACACTTTATAGAATGCTCATCGCAGAAGTAAACCCGAGTATTTTTATTTGGCTTAGCCATTGCATGGCCCTGAAACATGTTCCGACAGGGTCTATAACTGTCATCGACTGTGTGGGTGTGGGTGTGTGTGTGTGTGTATGTGTGAGGTACGTATAATACAAACAGAATGACAAACCACCCTTGACTATTTTCACATAAGTTATTATGATAAACTTATCATGATAACTTTAGCATGTTAAGAGAAAACCGTTCATATAGAAACCATCATCATGATCTATTTATGCTAATGCGTGCAGTGTTGCATGAAAACTACCAGAAGCACAACCAATGAGGTTGGGATCTACCAGAAGCACAACCAATCAATCAATCAATCAAACATTTATTAGAACATACACCTTTAGATCGGTGGCACTCAAAATCATTTGGTGCGTTCAAATTAGCTAAAATTCTTAGCTACAAGTAAAAAAAAAAAAAAAAAAAAAAAAAATTACGAAACAAAACAAGGGAATCTTTAAAGTCAAAATGAAATAAACACAAGTGAGTAGTGCTGCTGATGAGACAAGTAGCTCCCCGAAAAACATGACAAGGAAATACAACCTGCCTTGCCTGTCACAAATTTCGAAGAGCCGACCTGTACCATCAACAAACTCAACAATAATGTTAAGGCAAACAAAATTAATTAGTTACAAAAAAAAGGAAATGACAGTAATACAGATACTTAATCTACGATAAAGTTTGCAAGCGCTTCAATTCAGATCTTTTTCTCCACGCTCGTTTTCCATAACTTTTACAAAATTCATCGAAGTATTTCTCTACTTCATTTGTCATGGAAAGAGCAGTGGAGCCTAGGACGTAGCTTAATTTAATATCAATATTAGCACTTAAAAATTGATCCCAAACATCGATGTTATGACTACTTAATTTATATTCAAGTTTATTTAACTCCTTTAAACGTTAGGAGAGTGGGACAAGAGAATAAGAAGTGTCTTATGTCTTCTTCATTATTTGTATTGCAAAGAGTACATAAGCCATTCTTGTCTTCAGACCATCTAGAAATTCTACTATCAAGTATTGGAGCGAAGTTTAAATTTCAATGATACACCTTCGAAATCCAATTTATCTAATAGATAATTTTCTAATTTAATTGTATCTTTAGGTAATGAATAGTCGGTGAGTGATGCCTTACTTTCAATATCCTCTCTCCAGTTTTCATTGTTTATTTTATTTACTTTTTAAAAATAATGGATTAACCCAGTAATTGTAGTTGCCCTGATTATTAGATAATTGTACTAGAAGGTCTTCAGATTCACATTTAATAAAGAGATCAGAAATACATTTTACAAATTAGAAACGGAAGTTATTTGGATCACATTGAAACTGAATTGTTGCATTTAGGAGTATTTTTGGCCAACGATACGGTTCCATACTAATTAAACGATTAAAAAATTTAACTCTTGCAGTGTCATGCATAGTTTTTATCTGTATCCATCCAAGTTCCCCATACAATGTAGATCGGGCGTATTCATAGGGGCTTTAAAGATATATCGTGCCATTTGTAATTGAAGTTTTTCTAATCTTTCAATGTCTGATTTATTTACGCTACACCAATGAGGTTCCACCAGATCACGTTAAATTCTGAATGTGAACCTAGCTAATCTGTCTACAATAGAACCCCTCATTTGGGACACCCCTCTTAAGGGAACACACCTATTAAGGGGGAATTTTTCAGCCACAAATTTAAACGAAGCAAAGTATCTTTTAACACTACCCCTATTCAGAGGACACCCTTTTAAGGGGACACTTTTTGGTCCCGAAGGCGTCCCCTTATAGGGGTTCTACTGTTTTTGTCTTAAGTAAACAAAAGACAAAGATTTAATTTGTTTCTAAATATGTTTGTGAATTTCAGACATGTTTGAAATTATATTCCATATACAAAATTATATCGTTAACTTATAGACATTAGGGAGATTTCGCAAGTTACTAAAACGATAACAAATACGAACGTCATTATCATTATCGCCATTCGTGAATGAAACATTCTTGACAATATGTTGCACGACCTGAATATGATCCTTTATTCATGCAAAAGGCACGAATCGCCTACGTTGTGACATATATGCTACTGTTGGGAAGGGTTTTCTAACAAAATTGATGACGTAACCGTATTCGTTATCGTTTTCGTAAGCTTGCGGAAACTCCCTATTACCTTGATGGTGATTATGAGATTACTCACTTTCTTCATCATCCGGGTCATAATGTACAAGCACTGACTAAAAAAAAACAATACGCCCAATAACGTCAGCAGTTATTTCAAGAATGTATAGTACCAACGTATTCTGTTGTAATCATTTTATTTCAATTCAAATCCAACGGTGAGCCGCTTTTAATAGAATGGAATACATAGAACAATGAATGTTTAGTGTTACCATGACCTTGGGTCTAGAAACACTTCAAGTGCAATGTGGGTGGGTGCTACAGGATGACTCCAAAGCTGCAGCAGCCAAAAAAAATCATAAAATGAATGGGCTACCAGCACTTTCCCTCACAGTCCTCCAATAACGCAAATGTATTATTTATATTTGTTATACAGTAGGTTCTTCTTAAGACTTCAAAAACATGCCATTCTGTGCCGACTTCAAAAACATGCCATTCTGTCGACCGTTGGTTTGATACGTTCTTTGATTCCATTCACAATTTCTGTCAGCCTGTCTCTAAATTTCTTCAGACCAAACCAATAAATAAATGGATTTGCCAATACAACGAAACATTTCATGAAAATAGCAATAACCCCTATTACAGTATTAAAAGAAGATATCGCTAATAAAACGGCGACAGTTTCAAAAATGGCTAACTAGTGTCAAGCTGGAAATTATTGATAAGAGAAAAGGCACATGAGGAAAACACATCACCGGCCAACTGTTTATCACACTGACCTGCTGCTGTCTTTTCTGTTGTCGTCTTCGTATCTGGCTTGCACATACTACAGACAACTGTATACACGAGAATGTAACTGACATGAGAAACAGGAATGTGTCGTAGGCCAAAAGAACACAGACAGCTGCGTAGTCAACAAAGAAAGCAGATGATAAACACGCAGAGAAAATCCAGACGATCACACACATCACCCTGACATCTTCCTGTGTCATCGTTGTTCTGTTATACGATAGAGGATCGTGGTATGATTTCCATGTGTCCACCGCTAGAAGAAAAAGTAAAAAAAACGAAGCAAAATGCCCAACGGTGTAAACAACAATAACGACGACCAAGTTGGAAGACACTTTCTTGACGTCTACAGTTGTTGCTTCGAAGGAGTACCCAGTCGCAATAATGAACATTGCCAATGCCATCCATGTGTCCGCAAGAGCAAGATTTATTGTTAAAATCCTCCGAGATTGTATTCTGATTTTTTTCATAGTGTGATAAACAGTCACAATCAGTAGGTTTCCAACAATAGAAATAATACAGGCGACAGAAACGATGACATCAACGAAGAACCATAGAATTCGCTTATCGTTGTCAAACTCATTAGACATTTCGTATCTGGTAGTATTATCAGTCTGTTTTATTAGACAATCAAACATACCTCTAATTGTATCTAACCACTCTTTGATAAATTTCCAAGACGTTCTTCGAACGCAAAATATTCGTTCGCATGCGGAAGTGATAGATAGTACCGTACTGCTTAGATATAGGCATAATCCAATTCAACCAACGTTCAAATCCTTTGAACTTCCGGCTAAAGGGTTTTATTTATTATCCTGGAGGATTATCACTTAAATACATATCATTATTGTAGTATTTTATTACGGCAAACGGAAGGGTTCTGTTGGTTTTTCATACAATTTAAATAAATTATATATAGATATATGGAATATATGGTAAAGTATCATTATTATCTTAAACAATAGACAGCAATAATCATTAATAAGGTAAAGTATTAGCTGAGACAACTATACACGGAGATTGGAAACGACCTGAGATTTCCTTTGTTCTTCCATCCCGACGATTCGTTGAGAGCTGCCTGCTTTTGTTGTGCAAATAAAGTCAACCGAACCATAGAGAAAATAGAACATTTTCTCTATGACCGAACACTGCTGCAGCCAAGCGAATGCACTGCATGACCTCGCAAACTAGAGAACAATAGAATCGAGTCGCGTTTGCAATCTCCGTGTAGACTTAAGGCATGACCACCAGATAATCAGTCGCATGCGATTACATAATAGGTCTAATATTATTTATATAATATATATATATATAT